GGGTGAAGCAGATGGACATTACCACCGCCTTCCTCAATGGGATCATTCTGAAGGAGCTGTACATGTTACAACCTGAGGGTTTGGATGATGGGAGCGGCAGGGTGTGCAAGCTGAAGAAGGCCATCTATGGCCTGAAGCAGGCTCCTCGTGCATGGTACCACAAGCTAGATGAGACACTGCTAGCTGGGGGGTTCAAGAAGAGTGAGTGTGACCACAGCCTGTTCCTGCTACAAGACAAGGAGCAGTTTCTCATGCTCCTGGTGTATGTGGACGACATCCTGCTCTTCTCCGAGTCGTCTGCAATGATTGAGTGTGTGGAGGAGATGCTGGAGATGCAGCTTAAGTGCTCCAAGATGGGAGATGTGAAGTACTATTTGGGCATGCATGTGGAGAGGGACCTTGACAAGGGAGTGTTGAGGTTGCACCAGAGGAAGTACTGTGAGCGGCTGGCCGAGAAGTATGGGCTGCAAAATGGAGGGAAGCCAGCCACCCCACTGCCTTCGGGGTTCACAGTGGAGCCCTGTGCTGATGAGGAGGTGGTGGGTGAGAGTGACAGGAACCTGTTTCATTCCATGGTGAGGGCACTCAATTATGCGGCTAACCACATGCGGCCTGACATTGCCTTTGCTACATCCAGGCTTGCAAGTGTGGTTGCACGCCCCAGTCATGAGCAGCTCGAAGCGGCCAAGAGGTTGGTCCGCTATGTGAGCGCTACGGCATCAGTGGGCTTGGAGTACAGTGCTGTGCGACAGAGGCTACAGAGGGGTGCAGTTGATTTGAGCAAGGGGGAGATGCTCTTGACTTGCTATACCGACGCCAGCTTCAACTCTGTAAAGGCGGATGGCACCACCATTGGGGGCTATGTGTGCCTCTTTGGAGGTGGTGCAGTAAGCTGGCGCAGCAACAAGCAGAAAGAGGTGGGGCAGTCCTCGTGTGAGACAGAGTACATGACCCTACATTATGGGGCAAAGGAGGTGGTGTGGCTGAGGCGTTTGTTGGAGGAGATTGGAGTTGGTCAGAGGGAGCCGACAATCATGTTCTGTGACAATGAGTCGGCAGTGAAGCTTGCCAAGAACGCCTGCCTTCATGGGCTAACAAAGCACATTAGGCCCAAGTGGCACTGGGTGAAGAGGCTCCTGGACAAGGAGGTGCGTCAGGAGATTGTGAAGACCCATCAGTAGGCGGCTGACATTCTCACCAAGCGCCTGGCTGAATCTAAGCATTGGAAGGGCATGAAGCTTGCTGGGATGAGTGTGCATTGAGGGTGCATGCTTGAGCTATGGCATGTGGGATGATGGTTGGCAGCCAGAGGGGGAGTTTGTTGTGTGATGCAATCATATGCATTCACGTCTGTCTGCCTCCCATCACATGTTCGTGCGTTGCATGCGTGGTGTGAGCGTGTGCAAGAACTTGTGTTTTGTACGGTTTGGTTTTTCTGAGTGTGTGTGAATGTTATTTGACTTGAGCAGATATCTGAAGTGACTCCTGTGCTCAAGAGCTTTCCGACGAACCAAGTATCGCTTCAATCGGAGCACGAACAAGAAAGTTACGAACGTTGGAGTTCGCAGGCTTTTCATATTTGATTTTGGCAACTGTGGGAAGTTGTGGGGTTGACTCAATATGGGGTTCAGACTTTTGGGGGTTGGGAAATTCGTCTTTTCTACTGTATTTGCTGCCAAATGGTTGGGTGAAACCAAACGAGGTTGGCAAGTGTGGCCAAGTCGGGTTGAGGTGGATTGTGGAGGTTGGGATAGTGACAAAGGTCAAAGTTGGGTTGCCTATGGGGAAAGGAATTGTGTGGCATGGGGTTTCCTTGGTTCGGGACACTCTTGGGACCTTCCCTCTCATCCTACTCATCCCTTCCACCTGGTTTAGTGCTACTCTACCTCTCTTGTGTAGTAATTGTGAACTTGTGAGACTCTTGTGATTGAGTTAAGTTCTTATGGCAGCATACCCCCCTGTGCGCCGAAATTCATAAGTCGAGAAATACTTCACCTTTGGATACGAATCAAATTGGTTAATGTAGCCACGGTTAAGGGCTACAACATATCTGAGTTTTGTAAAGTTTCGACGGTGAAGTTTTTGTCGACGGCGTTTCTTGTGAACTCGACGTTTCTGTCCAGAATTCTAAGCCAACGATTTTGAAAAATTTAAGCACCTAATCTTCGTAGACTCCGTCCTTAGTCTGTAACAAGGAGGAGGAGCAGGGGACGGAACTCACAACTGCCACCCCCACACCCGCCACCCCCAAACCCTAACGCAGGAGGCACAGGGAGGGAGATGAAGCGGAGTGGCGCGCGGCCCCCAGGGCGCCACGACGGGCGACGGGATTGGGGGGGCGCGCGGCCCCCCGGGGCGCCACGACGGGCGACGGGATGGGGGGACGCGCGGCCCCCGTGGCGCCACGACGGGCGACGGGAGAGGGGCGACGCGCGGGCCCCCGGGGCGCCTCGACGGGCGACGAGAGGGGGGGGGGCGCGCGGGTCCCCGAGGGCGCCACGACGGACGACGGGAGGGGGGAGCGCTCGGGTCCTCGAGGGTGCCGCGACGAACGACGGGAGGGAGCCCGCGGGTCCCCGGGGGCGCCTCGACAGACGACTGAGGGGAGCGCGTGGGACGGAGCACGAAACCGTCGCGCGCTCCCGGGGCGCACGGCGGGCAGGAACCCCCGCCGCGCGCCCAGGGCGGCGGGCAGAAAACCTCCATGCGCCCGGAGCGCGCGGCGGGAAGAAAAAAACAAACAAACAGCGTCGCGCGCCACGGGGCGCGCGACAGACAGGAAAGCAGCGGAAGCATGTGGGCCCACAGGCCAAGAGCGTAACAGCTCTGTTACCATGTTACAAGAGTAAGCAGAACGAGGAGCTATAGCTAGGGTTTACCTAGCTAGGCAAGAGAGAATTAAGCAAAGGAGGGGGTTCACTATCAAGCAGGTAGATACATATAGGAAACCCTAAAGGGTCATACTCACTACAGAGTACCCCGCTGCAGGCTAGACAAACTACACATTCTGACAAATTTTGATTCGTCGTGCCTGCGACTGACTGGTGGCGCGCTGTGGTTGCTGTGCTAAGCGAATACGATCCATTACCGCGAGGGGAGGACCACCGTGCCCTACACAACATGGCAAGCTTACCATGCAAATTCAGTATTGTGTACAAAACATGTCGTGCGCTGATATGCATGGGCGTTTTGAGCCAATGATGGCATCAATTTCGGCATTCTAAGCCGCGTACTTGGCGTATTAGACCTTATTCAAGAGTTGGAAAATCATGGCCCAGGTATAAATCAGGGAGAATGGGGTAAGGAAGAAAAACGAGTAAAGGGAAGGGAAAACGGAAGATCGAGTTGGCGGTATTATGCGAACATATGGGACAGGAAGATTGGTCATAATAGCAGGCTATATTTTAGAGCGAAAATAAATATGAAATGAGAAGGAATAGGATATTGAATGCAGCCCAAGCAACAGCCACTTCGTGGAATGATACTATGTGGGTTGATATAAATGCAAAGCAAGTTCAATAAGCCTGATAGGAAGACGAAATACACTGGGCTGTTGTGATATTGTTGTAAATTCTGGAATGTCTAATCGAGGATCAAAGTTTTGACCCACCCCATACCTAATATGCGACTCGACAAAAGCAAGGCACCTTGGTTCGACTTTGCAGCTGCGGTCCCAGCCCCGTCCCAGGTCTGCCAAGGGCCAAAGCGAGGGCATTTTTGCATGTCTCGAGACCTGGTGAATGCGGCCCGGAGCTTCGCATTTGCAGTTGCGCCCCTGTTTCCCTTCGACCAATCGTAGCACTTTTCCCAGCCCCGAATTCGCCCCTGCATAGTCGCATTGTCTCGCCAGATCGCATGCGCCCGCTAATTCGCAAACAAGGTCTCGAAGTTGCATTGTCGTGCGTCGCATCCCAGCTACAGTGCAGTGGTCACATCGTTCAAACCCTACCCAAACCGTCGTTCAGTTTTTTTATGGTGAACTTCGGCCAACCACAATCGCTCGGGGCGTAGCAAGCGATGCACTTGCCGGCTGATCATCGACAAACCGAACGACAATTGCGAGCTTTGCGAGCCAACCACCACTACCATTCCTACCATCCCAGCACCATCGCCCTCACATGTGATCGCATGCAGATCTAAACGCTCGCCAGGAGAGTCTGCGACGAAGTCAACATCTTGGAATCCAAATTTACATTCCCGCCAACCAAACCCCGATTTCTACAAGGAAATCCTCAAGCTCGAGGCCATCCCGCGCCGCAATTCGCCCTTCCAACCTTGGAAATGTCATTTCGTCCATGCTTCTGTGATAGCTCACTAATCAGTGGAACTCAGCAATAATTGTTCTGGTCGTTCTAGCCTAGGAAGCCCTGGTTACGAAGAAGCTGTAGGATAGCTCTTTTCGCTGTACTTTCTTGCGGAAGCACGTCCACTAGACATAGAACAGCACGGCACCGTAGTACACGTGGCGAAGTTTCATCGCGTTGACCGAAAGAACCGAGGGGACACGTGAAAACAGCTAGTGGTTTTGGAATTAAGCGAGCTCATGGTTCGGCCAAATGTCTCCGCTGCAGCTGCCGCAGCTGCTAGGAGTTTCGTCAGGGAAATCTAGCGGCACCCAGACTCTTGATGCCGAAACCAAGGAGGAGATAGCGACCGTCGGTCCTCCTGACGAGCCGTCGCATTCCGATCTGCTCACGAAGCGAAAGCGAGTCAACCCCCAGCCCGACGCTGCTAACTGCGCACCAACTACTAGTAACTACGATAGCCCGCCGCCGTGTTTTCGTCATGACGAACCCAGCTGCATTAGCGGATCTGCTCTTAGTGAAGCGCCGGCGTGTTTCAAAGAACCGTCTGACGCGCCGACTGACGCTAACGAGCTGACCAGCCGCGGACAACCGAGTTCTATCAGCAGCCATGTCGCAGCCGCCACCTCTTATCTATCTGCGCATCAGGAAAGCGCTGGAGTTTCGGCAACCACGAGAACGTGTCTTTCTGCAGTAATGGCTGCAGAAGGTGAAGACCTTGCGAAGGCTTCCGCTCGTCCTGGCTTAGCTAACGGCGGAAGCTTCGTGGCTCCCGCGATTTGCCAAGGAGCAGAAGCAACCGGCGCAAGCAGAGACGTGGAAGCAGCAGGAACAGCCGCGGAGGACGCAGCGGGAACGGCGGCGGGAGAAGCAGAAGGAGCGCCCGACGCGATTGGTGCGTCCACCCCGCCTCGTGAGGCGAACCCGACCAGTCCGTCGCATGCAATCCGTGCGAGCCTCTCCGCGCCCCCGCGCGTGACGAGCAAGAAGCCGCCCGACAGCATGCCGCTGCTGCGCCTACCGCTGGGCCTGTCGCCGTCCGCTTGGCCGCAAGGAGGGAAGCGGCAGCTTGGGCGAGATGACACGGGAGATGACAAGCGGCTGGATTTGAGTATGCCGGGACTAAGCTCTCAACAGGGAGGGGGTTCGGGCGGCTCGGATGGTCCTTGCTGGAAGAAGCGCGCCGTTGGGGGTGTTTCACCGGGCGTAGCCGCTGTAGCAGTGTCCTCGGGTATACCGTCCCCGGATGCACCGTCCTTGGGTGCACCATCCTCGGTATTATCTGTTCCAACTCCAACAGCCGTCGCGTCTACTTATGTCGCCTCCCCGTCCTCTTCCTCCGCCTCTCCGCTCCGCCTTCCCTCTCCACTTCGCCTCCCCTCCTCCCTCCGCCTCAACTCCCCTCTGCGCTTCTCCCGCCGATCTTCCCCGGCCCTTGCGCCGGTTTCTGGCGGTCACGCCCTTCCAGTCCCCCCCGGAACCCCGAATAACGGCGCGCCACCTTTCCTCTCGCAACCGTCAAACTCCCCCCTTGGGTTGTCGCTTCCTCCCTCCAGCACCTCACCCAGTCCTCACGCTGCGCGGGCGCACGGTCCGCTTCCGCCGCTATCCCTTCCGCCCCCCGCCGCCCCGCTCCCTGCTCAACCTTCCCCCGCGCCGACTCCTGACGGCGGGTGGCAAGGGACAGCTGGCGCAAGTCCTCGCAACCCTCCGAACCAGGGGGGACCGCAAGAACCTGCCAATTCCCCACACTACCGCGGGGTGCGGTTGCGCCCATGGGGAAAATGGGCGGCGGAAATCCGCGATACCGCCAACAGCGCGCGCCTGTGGCTGGGCACGTTCCCCACGGCGGAAACGGCGGCGCTGGCGTATGACGTGGCAGCGATGGCGATTCGAGGAAACAAGGCGAAGCTTAATATGGAGCAGCACAGAGAGCTGGCGAACGAAGTTCGCGATCTGGTGAGAACGCTGAAAGCGGCGGCAAAAGCGGCACAGGATGCGGCGGCGGCGCGCGCGTATGCGGAGGCGATGGCGGATGCTGGTGGAGAGGAGGGGAAGCCGCCAGGGCTGAAGAGCGAAACCGCGACAGGGAACGGCGAGGACCGAGCAGCGAACGGCGACACGTTGAGTGAACGGCTGGGAACGGTTAGGGATGGTGACACTGGTTTAGAGGCATCTCGAAATGAGGGGGGCGGAAACGAGAAGTCAGCGGGTCGGGAATGCGCGAACTATGCGCCGGTGGCGGAAGGTACAGGCGGAGCACGCAGCGCGCAGGAGAAAGACCAGATGGCGGAGCCGCGATTCGGGCAGGGAAACGGGCAGGGAAACGGGCAGGCGAACGGGCAGGAGAACGGGCAGGGAAACGGGCAACTCCCAATGCTGCGACAGGCCCCGCCACAGGCGCCGCTTCTCCACGTGGTGATGGGGAAGGTGGTTACCACCATGGTGGATAAGTATGGCGGGGGAATGGGGAATTGGGCCAGGGGCGTTGGCGCTAATCAGGGCGCGCTGGGGAGCGGAGGAAGCGGGGGAGGCGGAGGAAGCAGCGGGGGAAGCGGGGGAAGTGGAGCTCCTGAGGGTATTGGGGCAGGGTGGGGAGTTGGGGGAGGTGCGGCGAATGGGGGAAATTGGGGGAATGGGGAGACAAAAACGGGTGCCGTGGGAGGGGGTGCTGTGGGTGCAGATAGGGAAGGGGTTGGAGGGAACGCGGGGCAGCAGGTGGACAGGAAAGAGTTGGTTACATCCCCCTTACAAGCTCTCTCGTTAAACCAGGGAGTCTCGCCCATGCAATGCCAGGCCTCCTTCATAGAAAGGAACACGTCCCCTGTACTACCCCAAGTGAAGGTCGAGCACGTTCCTGCTTTTACCGAGTCAGCTTACAAAGGTTCGGTGTTGCAAACAGGAGGGCAGTTCGTGAGTGGAGCAACTGCGTTTGCTGGTAACCATGTAACCAGTTCGTGTGTGGTTGCGCCCAGCGTCACACCTCCGCCTGTAGCTGTACCGAGTGTGCTTACAGGGGGGATGACAGGAACGCACTCAGAGGTGCCTGCACTTCCTAAGACTGCGTGTAAGGGGGACGCCTGTAGAGGGGATGGGGGGAGCAGCAGCAGCAGTAGCAGCAGCGGTGGCAGAAGCAGCAGGCAGAGTGGGGGAGAGGAGATGGGCGATGGCATAGGGGGCATGAATGGCACGGGTGGGGTAGGTGGCATGGGCGTGGGGGGTGGGGCAGGTGAAACAGAGAGGATGGAGGTGGATGGACGGACACAGGAAGCAGGGCGAAACTTTGAAGGGTTGGTGGGCACAGTACAATGTGCGTTTGAACATCTCACCCCTAAATCGCCTCACCTTATGCAGCAGGGCGGTGGCGGGAACGCTGGGGTATTATTTGGCAGTGAGCGAACGACGACACCTGGCATGGTATCAGGGTCTCGTGGCGTGGATGATGTGCCACGTGGCATGGTATCAGCGTCACGGGGCATGGATCAAACGCCACGTGGCGTTGCACAGGCGCCTGCTTGCCTGTGCCACCACGCCCACGTGAACATGCAGGCTCACACCCATGCTTCTGTTTCTGAGGCACCTCAGAATCACGTGCACATTCATGCACAAACCTGTGCATTTGATGACACACGCACTCAGCCTTGCACCTTGTCACTCCCTCAGCCTCACTCTCAGTCACACACTCACTCACAGACTCACTCACACACTCAGTCACACACTGAGCCACACTCACAGCCTGCAATGCTGCAACCTTATCACACCCACGATCACCCCAGCAGCACTATCTATGCCACACAGTCGTTAGACATGCCATCTGTAGCAGCATTGCAAGCGCCCATGCTACCCCCACCTGTCATGCAAACGCCCTTGCTGACCTCCCCTGCTGGTGCTGCTTCAGGTGGTTCTTCAGGCGCGGCTTCTGTTGCCCCTTCAGGTAGTGCTTCAGGTGGGTTTTCAGCTCAACCCCCTGCCGAACGACCGGGATGGCATTACACAGAATCTCATCAAGCAACAGAGAAAGCAGCAGAGGAGATTGGCAGCGTAAAGAAAGAGAATGTCGCCTCTACTGGTGGAGGAAGAGGAGGAGAAGGAGGAGTAGAAGGAGGAGGAGGAGGAGGAGGAGGAGGAGGAGGAGGAGGAGGAGGAGGAGGAGGAGGAGGAGGAGGAGGAGGAGGAGGAGGAGGAGTAGGAGGAGGAGGAGGAGGAGGAGGAGGAGGAGGAGGAGGAGGAGGAGGAGAAGGAGGAGGAGGAGGAGGAGGAGGAGGAGGAGGAGGAGGAGGAGGAGGAGGAGGAGGAGGAGGAGGAGGAGGAGGAGGAGGAGGAGGAGGAGGAACGGGGATAAGTGGGATCTCCCAGGGTACCAGCCTTGGCGATCCCAGGTTCGGGGCCGAAAATCACAGGCTCGGGGTCGAAGACCTCAGGTTCGGGATCCTTCCAAACCAGGAGGTTGATGGGGAGGACGAGCCGTGCCTGCTGCCCATGCCTGATGGTCAGGAATGGGAAAGGTTCGGTTCGGACCTGCCGTACCCACCCGAGCAGGCTTTTTCTGGGTGGCGGTTAGTGAGTGACTCAGTAACGGAGACAGGCACAGAAACCACAGGAACCGTGCCTACAGTAACAGCTGTTACTGATACAGGCGCCACTGTAACGAATACAGGTGGCACTGTAACGGATTGTGACGGCCTGAGCAGTGACTTTAAAGGGCTGACTTGTTCCGGGCAAAGGGGAGGAGGAGGAGGAGGGGGAGGAGGAGGGGGTAACCAGGTCGGAGCGACAATAACCCTTGAGACACCTGAGAGGTCTCTGACCTGTTCTGCTAGGAGCGAAGGGGCGAGAGGCGATAGCTTCTCAGCGTCAGTGCCTTTTGAGAATCACACGCTAGAGACGTTAGAGAATCCTCTGACGGGCTCTGGGAGGAAGGAGGGGGTGAGAGGAGGGGTGAGAGCGGCAGGAATCAGGACTGCCCATTTCCGCCCTAACGCTGCAATTGTGGAGGCATTTAGAAACGGTGAGGGGCGGTTGGATGGGGTGGAAGCAGTGGTGTTTCAGGCGCCTCAAGGTTCGGTTTACTTTCAGCAAGGAGTGGTGCAGCAGGGATTGATGCAGCACGGTGGAGTGCAGCAAGGTGGGTTTCAGCAAGGAGTGGTGCAGAACGGTGGGACGCAGCAAGGTGGGGTGCAGCAAGGTGGGGTGCAGAACGGTGGGATGCAGCAAGGTGGGGTACAGCAAGGCGGGGTGCGGCAAGGTGGGGTGCAGCACGGAGGGATGCAGAACAGTGGGGTGCACCTGACGTACTCTCAGCAGGAAGCAGGTCAGAGGCAGCAGCAGCAGTGGCAGCAACAGCAGGACCAGCAGCAGCAACAGCAGAATCAGCAGCACTTTCAGCATCAGCAGTATCATCATTATCAACAGCAGCAGCATCAACAGCAGCAGCATCAACAGCAACTGAATTACCCTGACCAGCAGCAGCAACAACAGAGCCAGTCCCGGCAACAGCAGCAGCAGCAGCAGCAGCAGCAGCAGCAGCAGCAGCAGCCGCTGCAGCAGTATCAACAGCAGCAGCAGCAGCAATATCAGCAGCAACAGCAGCAGCAGAATCAGCAGGAGCAGCAGCAGAAAAATCAGCAGGATCAGCTGCAGCAGTATCAGCAGCAGTATCAGCAGCAGTATCAGGAGCAGTATCAGCAGCAGCAGCAGCAGCAGCAGCAGCAGCAGCAGCAGCAGCAGCAGCAGCAGCAGCAGCAGCAGCAGCAGCAGCAGCAGCAGCAGCAGCAGCAGCAGCAGCAGCAGCAGCAGCAGCAGCAGCAGCAGCAGCAGCAGCAGCAGCAGCAGCAGCAGCAGCAACAGGATACGCAGTGGCATAGTCACCAGCAGCAGCAACAACAGAACCAATCCCAACAGCAGCAACAGCAGATTCAAGTGCAGCAATATCAGCAGCAACAGCAGCAGCAGCACAACCCAATCCACACAGAGCAACAGGCAGAAGGGAAGCAAGAGCAGCAGGAGAACGCATGTGTGCAGCAGCCACAGTGCCAGTGCTGCCAACCCATGTACCCGCGTGCGCGAAATGAACCACATAAGCAACAAGAGCAACAGCAGCAGCAGCACCAACGGCAGCAGGAGCAGCAGCAGTGGCAGGAGCAAGGGAAGCAGAAACAAGGGCAGATGGAGCAGCATCAGCAAAGGCAGCAGCTGCACAACCAGCAGCAGCAGAGGCTTATTCAGCCAAACCAGCAGCAGCAAAGCCAGTACCAGCCTCAGAGCCAGCAGCAGCCACAGCAGAACGAGCAGCAGCAGAGCCACTACCAGCAGAACCACTACCAGCAGCAGCAGAGCCAGCAGCAGCAGCAGCAGCGCCAGCAGCAGCAGAACTACCAGCAGCAGCAAACCCAGCAGCAGCAAACCCAGCAGCAGCAGAGGCAGTATCAGCAAAACCTGCAGCAACAGCAGCAGCAGCCGCAGCAACAGCAGCCGCAGCAAGAGCAGCATAATCAACATCAGCAACTTTATCAGCAGCAGCAGCAGCATCAGCAACACCTGCAGCCGCAGCAACAGCAGCATACTCCGCAGCAACAATACCAGCAGTATCAGCCGCAGCAACAGCAGGGCCAGCAGCAACAGGCACAACAGACGAACCAGCAGAAGCAATACCAGCTGCAGCAGCAGCAACAGCAGGCACAGCAGCAGCATAATGAACAGCAGGAGCAGTACCAGTTGCAGCAGCAGCAGCAGGAATACCACCAGCAGCAGCAGCAACAGCAGGGACAGGTGCAATCACAAGGTTACAGGTATCACCAGTCAGGCCATTCTGGCCAATCGCTGACATGCACCTGTACACCCTCCGAGTGTTCGCACTCAAATCGCACCAGCCATACCGTACCTGCTGCTGCTGCCACACCTGCTACACCCGCTACAGCTGGCGCTGCTGCTACAGCTGCTGCTGCAAATGCTATAGGGGCTGTGGCTCGTGAAACACAAGTTTCAGCTGCCGCAGCCACAGTTTCATTAAACAGCCGGCAGCAGCAGGGTTATTTTCCTGCTACAGCTGCTGCTACAGCTGCTACTTCTGCTACAGGCGCCGCTACAGCTGCTGCTACAGCTACCGCAACATATGCTGCAAAAGATGCTGCTACATATCCTGCTACAGCTTCTGCAAACGCTTCTACATATCAGGGTGCTTCTGGAATTTCCGTTCCTCGCTGCAGCTGCTGTAGTAGAGGGGCTAATCACACTGTGACTCATGGCATGCCACCTGGCAGCATGCCACCTGGCAGCATGCCACCTGGGAGCATGCCACCTGGCAGCATGCCACCTGGGAGCATGCCACCTGGGAGCATGGCTGGAAGCATGGATGGAAGCATGCTGGCGAGTACTGTTCATGGGTCATGTGGTGCGGTGCATGCGAGTCGTGATTCCTCTTGTCATGGTGCCATGCAAGGCGTGTATGGTGGCATGCAAAGCATGCATGGTGGCATGCAAAGCATGCATGGTGGCATGCACAGGACGCATGGCAGCATGGGAACAGCCATAACAGCATCCCCTCACGCATCACCCCTGCCCCCCGCACCCCACCTTCCCAGCACAGCACGCAGCAAGAGCCTATCCTCTCTCCCTCCCCACCTCCACCCACACCCCATTGCTGCCAGAAGCTTTTCCTCTAAGCATCCTCACCCGGGTCCCCACAACTCTCGTTACAGTCACAGCAACAGCAGCAGCAACTGTGACAAAAACGGGGGTTTCTCTCCCAGCCCTGCCCCTTTATATGCTCTCAGTAGCTATGAAACAGCCTGCCTTGCACCACCTTCACGGGAACCGGTTCACAACTACTCAGCTGCTTCCCACCAACAACACCAGCAGAATCCTCTCCAACCACCCCACCTTCCTAGCACCACTCTCAATCGAACTGCACCTGCTTCTCCTGCACCCGCCTCTCTTCCCACACCTGCTTATCCTCAAGGCATCTCTACGCACATTCATGCATCCAACCAGGCCTTTCTCCCGTCCTACCCCACCCAGGGATCATCTGCCCCCGGCTTTTCTGCCCCCATTTCCCTGCCTCCTGCGTCCATGAGTCCACAGTCGTTTCATCAAAGCAGCAATATCGCCACTGCACCACCACAGCACAACACTCCTTTTTATCAGAACAGCAACACCACAATTGCACCACAGCCTGTTTATCATCACCCCAACACGATTTCTGGGGCGCCTCTGAAGTCTGTTGCTGTTTCCCATCCTCCTGCCACCACGCCTTCCCAGTTCAGTTCTCATCACAGCAACAACACCCTCCCACAGTCTATTTATCAAGCCAACACGGTCAACAACACCAACAGCAGCATGCCTGCACAATCTGTCCATCAGACAAGCACTAAGTCGCCTTACCCTCCACCTATTTATCACACCACCAACAACACCCCTGCACCTTTACCCGGTGCAGGTGCATCATGCCCAGGTGCATCTCACTTATCCTCCTTCGTTCACCCCTCTCCCTCTCCTCCTGCTGCTCTTCATGCGTCCTCTGCCGCGCCACCTGAATTTTCACCTGAACGCATAACTGCCCCACCTGAAATCCCACCTCCCCACCTTTCCTTTGAGACCGCCTCACATATTCCCCAACCGTCACACTACCCCACCGCAACCATTCCCACCCCCACCCCAGCCCTTTCCGGCCCTCCATTCTCCACCGCACCGCACTCCTTCCAATCCCAATCCTCTCTCTCAGCACCCCCTCGCATCCCACCCCAGCCTGCTTCAGACCCATTCTTTTCCCCCTCTCCTTCCACCACTCCCCCATCCTCCTCCTCCCCAATCCTTCTAGCCACCGACCCTCAGCAAAAACACACACCCGCCTCCCACTCATCGGCTCGTGTGCTCATTTTCAGCGATCCCTCCCCCTCTCCTGCTCATTCCTCTGCTGCATTTGAGAACGAAACTTGTGGCTCTGCTGCTACCAAAGCCTCTGGTATTTCCCCTGCAGCTGCACCAACATCTGCTCCTGCTCCTGATCCTGCTCTTGCTCCTGCGCAAGCCTCGAGTCAGGTAACTCCTGAAAGTGGTCACCGTCAATTGGGGAATTCCGGTATATTATCCCCTTCAGCTTCTTCCAGCCCACTCGAGTTCGGCCTCTCAGTCAAACCCGGCTCTTCTCCTGCTGCGCTGACAGCACTGGAACAAGCTCCTTCCTTCCCTGTTCAGCCCACGTTAGCAGCGTCAGCACCAGCACTTGAACACACTCATGCACAATCCGCAGCTCCTGCCGCTGATGCTTCACTTCATCCCACTCCTTCTGGGACTGGCTTCGGTCATATGGCCTTACCCAGCCTTCCTCTCTCCCCTCCACTGCACCCTGTCACTAACATTCCTACTGTCTTCAGCACTGCTCCAAACCAATCAGGGAGAGTGGAGCTAGAGCCCTGGCAAGGGGAGGCATGGCCTGGGGAGGGCTTATCTAGTGAAGGCTTCTTTATTGAGGAGTTTAATGGGCCTGATAGGTGGGCTGGAGATGGGTGGCTGGGAGGAGCATGGGAAGCCGATTGGACAGAAGGGTCGCAGGGAAGCGGAGGTGGACAAGGAAGTGCATCTCATGGTGGGTTAGGACTCGCATAGTGAGTTTGTGGTTTTTTAGGACAAGCCCAATGTGCCCAACAGTGAGTCTCAAGGTGCTGATTTTTTGGGAATAAGCTTAATGCATTCCCCTCATGCATCTGTGTGTATAGGAGTAGGAATACATAGGATTTGACTTGGTGTGTTATTAAGTGTTTGTGGTTTGTGGTGAGTATGAAACACTTCTTATAACAGCTACAGCAACATTCTGCTTTAAAATACCAGTACCAGCCCTACTCGTTGTCAGGACCCACTTAGCCCCCTGACCAGCAATCCTCTTTCTACCTTCCCGCCAACTACCGGTGTTACGATCGCCTCGAGCATGTCGCTGCGCCCTCGCTTCTTTCGCTAGGACCTCGGGATCGTCGCCCAACCTCTGACTGTCTGACAACCACCAATTTGCTTCAGCCGACGCAGGCGTGGTCGGGCTTGGGACAAAATCACCGATCTCATCCCAAGGTTTCAGGTTGTGTCATGTCATGAGTGAACTTCAGCGCTTCAGAACGGTTTAATACGGTGAAATAGCGGCTTGGCGGAGTTGTGAGCGAAAACGAACCCTCACGGTAACCTCCTAAAAACCCTCATCAGCGAAGTCAAGTTGAATTCAAGAGTGAATCTGCAGAATTCTAGGGTAGGACGTCCTTGCTTTGACAAGTCACCTTGTCACATCCTTCAGCAGGATCTTGCTTTGTTCTTATGACTCAGGGCCGGGAACAGCTACTTAATATTGTATTTTGTGATCGGAGGGTGGTCGCATTCGGCGGACCCGTTTGCAACCAGGGCTTCTTAGTGTGCATAGTTCTGACCTTGGCATAACGGCCGTCAGATCTCGTCAGCATGACTCTGACATTCAGTTTACGTTGTAGGGTGCTTGCTGCTGCTCTCCTGGTGGCTGTCATTGTCGCCGATGCTAGTGCAAGCGACCATAGATATGGCCAAGGGGACAAGGTGCCTTTCTACGCGAACAAAGTCGGTCCTTTTCACAACCCGAGGTGCGACGCTGTGTTTCTGATTCGTCGCTTCGTTGATGATTCGTTGGCGATCCGTTGACGGTTCCGTGACGCTCGTCTTCTCTGTCTGATTTCGCCTGACGCTTTGATGACGCTGGGAAAAGTCTCACTCTTTCTAAGTTTTCGTTCTAACTTGCTGTGGTTCATTCGAGGATCTTTTGCATGTGTCTCCTGAATTCGGATTTCCTACTCGTGAAGCTAACGTAGGCGTATTTCCTGTTAATCGTTTTGGACCCATCTTGTTTTTCGCAGCGAAACGTACAAGTTCTTCGACCTGCCGTTTTGCCAGCCAGGTCCGTCTCCCGTTCATAACGTGTTGCGTTTTCAGATAATAGTAAATGCTCACCGTTCATGCTTGCTAACCTGCTCTTCCAACTCCCCTGTTTCAACGACGTTCGCGCATTCGAAGCTATCGCGCATTCAAAACTAACTTCGCCGTTTCACGCTCATTCTTCTTCTCCTGTATGTTTTCTCAGGGAAGATAAACGAGAAGCTGGAAGACCTCGGCGAGGTTCTGAACGGCGATCGCATGGTTCAGGCCCCTTACGAGCTGAACTTCCGCGTAGATCACGAACGCACCACACTCTGCAAGCGAACTCTCGCCGTTAAGGACGTCCAGAAGTTCCGCGATGCGGTCATGAACGACTACTATTTCCAGATGTACTACGACGATCTCCCGATCTGGGGTTTCATCGGCAAGGTCGACACGGATCCCAAGAACCAGCACTTTTTCCTCTTCACGCACGTGCATTTTGAAGTAGAGTACAACAATGACCGCGTGGTGGAGATCAGCGTGGCGACTGACGCTGGTACCGCGGTGGACATTACCGAGGATAAGGAGATGGAGGTGGAATTCACGTATTCCGCCAAGTGGAAGCAGACGGACAAGTCATTTGACAAGCGCATGGACAAGTACTCGCGCTACTCGTTCCTCCCGCAGCATCTGGAGATCCACTGGTTCTCCATCATCAACTCGTGTGTCACGGTGCTGCTGCTTACCGGCTTCCTGGCCACCATTCTCATGCGCGTCCTCAAGAACGACTTCATCAAGTATGTTGACTCGACTCATGAGGTACAAAATGCGATTTTGTCAGGTGCGAAACACGATGTCAGCAGGTACCAAACACGCTCGTATTGGTATCGAAAGATCTCATCAGGTGCGAAACACGATTTCATCAGGTGCGAAGCACGAAATCATCGCGTACGACAAACGCTGAGATCCCATATATTTCAGACGAATTAGGATCTTATCAGATGCGTTAGTCGACTTCCTCCTCGGACCAGGAAATGCCTCCAGCCAAATGAATGCAGTCGCCAGGCGGCTATCATCATTTTCAAACTGCCGTTTTCCGTTTACATTTGTTTAGAATAGGGTACCTTATAGAAATCTGATCTGGTTGTGGAAGGTTGGTGTACGGGACCAAGAGGGGGTTGCTGCAGCGTGTCTTACAAAATTTGCTTTCTTCTTTGCGTGATCCAGGTACTCGCGTGACGAGGAGTCGTCAGAAGAGCAGGAGGAGACGGGGTGGAAGTACATTCATGGCGACGTCTTCCGCTTCCCCAAGAACAAGGACTTCTTCTGCGCCGTTCTTGGCAGCGGCACTCAATTGCTCTTTCTGTAAGTTTGGCTTCTTTACACGGAGAGTCTCTTGCTGAACGGTTTGCTCTGGGTATGATTAGAGCACGATGGCAGCCTCCACGCGTCATGTATCGTTGATCAGAATCATGAAGCTGCTCCTTCTCGTTTTGGGTCCCAAATCCGTGTCTTCTCCCGTGCTTGCTCTCTTTCGTTCAGGGTCATCTTCATCTTCATCCTCGCTCTTGTGGGGGTGTTTTACCCTTACAATCGCGGTGCTCTGTGGACGGCGCTGGTGGTGATCTATGCGCTGACCTCTGGAATTGCTGGGTACACGGCTGCGTCTTTCTACAAGCAGATGGAGGGCACCAACTGGGTGAGTGCAATGCAGTTTTGGAACCGACCAGGGATACAGAGAAAACGAACCAAAGATGTCTGTAATATTTTGGTATAAAATCTTGGTATTGCAACCACGCAGGTTAAGGTATTCGTTGGACTCCCTTCGGCTGGACCAATTAAGATTAGGCTTCAGGGACATGCGAGTAAGGGTTCTCTAAAAAGGTGCAGGGATTACTCTGCACAGAAACCTGCTTTCTCTGCAGTTTTATGCGCTATTATGAACATCAATTCACCCTACGTTCAAGTCCATCCGTGAGGTGTATCAAACTCCTGCCGAATTTCCCTCACCGATCCAGTCATTCTCATCCGCTCATCCTTTTCCTCACCCATTCATACCCCTCTTCCCCCTCTCTCCTATTCCCCTCCATCTTTTCTTCCCTGCCTCTCTCCTCCCCCCTTCTCCCCCTCTCTTTCCCCCGCCCGATCACCTACAGGTGCGCAACATTCTGCTGACGGGGTGCATGTTCTGCGGACCGGTGTTCATCTCCTTCTGCTTCCTCAACACCGTCGCCATCGTCTACAACTCCACCAACGCCAAGCCCTTTGGCACCATCGTCATCATCATCCTCATCTGGGCGCTCATCACTTTCCCCCTCCTCGTGGCTGGCGGAATCGCCGGGAAGAAGAGCAACGCAGAGTTCCAGGCGCCCTGCCGGACGACTAAGTACCCGAGGGAGATTCCGGTGCTGCCCTGGTATCGCCACACTGTGCCTCAGATGGCCATGGCTGGGTTCCTGCCGTTCAGTGCGATTTATATCGAGCTGTATTACATCTTTGCGAGCGTGTGGGGGCACAAGGTGTACACGATCTACAGCATCCTCTTTATAGTGTTCATCATTCTCATCATTGTGACGGCGTTCATCACGATTGCGCTCACATACTTCCAGCTTGCTGTGGAAGACCACGAGTGGTGGTGGAGGTACGCTACCTTCCAACCTTAAAACCTGTCAGCCTTTCTACCACCCTCAATCCAATCCTGCTGGCTCTTGGCTTTCTCAAGCATAGAAACGAATCCTTGTTTTTTCCAGTATAAACTTCATTCTGTGATAGCTCCACCTTACTCTTCATCCTCGACTACCATACCCCGCTCTCTCTTTTCCTCTTCCACCACCTCTTTCCCCTTTCCCATTGCTCTCAGGTCTGTGCTGTGTGGTGGCTCCACTGCACTCTTCATCTTTGGCTACTGCTTCTACTACTACTACGCTCGCTCAGACATGACCGGCTTCATGCAGACGTCTTTCTACTTTGGCTTCATGGCCTGCGTCTGCTACGGCTTCTTCCTCATGCTCGGCACTGTGGGCTTCCGCGCCTCCCTGTCGTTCGTGCGCCACATCTACCGCTCGATTAAGTGCGAGTAAGTGTCCCTTAGGAGGAGGGAAGGGAGCTGCGAGGGGAGGTGAGGGGGAGGAGGGGAGTAGGGGTGTAGGGCATTCTGCGTCCTGCTGTCGTTTGTGGGCCACTTCTACTGCTTTATCAAGTTTGAGTATGCTTTTCCAAAAATGAGGGGGAGAGTGTGCTGAGGGCTGATCAGGGAAGTGTGGGTGGGGGGAGACTTGGTGGATAATAGGAGCTTTCTAGGCATGGTTGTCTTTCGTGCACCACATCTACAGCTCCAGCTAGTGCGAGAAAGTGGTTGAGGGAATGAGGTGAAGAACGGCAGGGGAGAGGGAGGGGAGGGGCAGAGGTGCGGCCGGTTGAGGGTAGACTGGGGTGGTGTTTTGGGGAGAGTACGGGCTCCGCGCCTTGCTATCCTTTGTGTGCTGCATCCACGCCTCAATCAAGTGTGGGGAAGTATGTTGCAGGAAATTTATTTTTGAGGCGCCTCAAAAACAGTGGGAGGAAGCATGTTCCAGGAAGAAGTGGGGCTGAGTGGAGGGAGAGAGAAGTGGGTGATTGAGGGTGATCTGCGGCGATTTGGGAAGGGTGTTTGGCAGAAACTCGGGGGATTTCAGGCTTTGATGTTCTGGTACGCCACATGTACTGCTCCTTCAAGAGCGAGTGAGTGTTCTTTTGTAAATGAGCGAAATGAGAGGGACAGGGTGGTGGGGAATGTGTGGGGAGAGCTGGGGCCCCGCTCTCCTTCGTATGCCACATCTACCCCCCCCCCCGCCCCCCCTCCTCCCAAACCCTCATATAATGTGAGTTAGTGGCTCTTACAGGGGATGGGAGAGAGAAGTGCGAGTAAGTGACTGTTGTGAGGGGGTGGTTGGAAGATCAGGGACTAGTTACCTACCAAGAAGGGCAGTTTTGGAGTGGTTATTTCTTGGGGGAGGAAGGTTGGGAGTTTGGGGGGGGGGGAGTGGGGACATGGAAGGGGAGAGTATTCTGACGTTTTCACTCACATTTGCATATGGCTTCCCTCTCGTCCACCCACCCATTCTCCCTTGCAGCTGAATGGCCGAGGCCTGAAGGAGAATGATGATGCTAGATGCGTGTTAAGCTTAAAAATGCTGTTGTGGCATGCATGGGATTGATATTATACTACACAGTTTGGGTCTTCTATGCTAGAAATTAGAGCTAACGTTCAAGGCTAGTTTAGATGCAACCGTTTTACATTTTTTTACTTCGAAACTTCCATTCATCAGCACACACCACGACAAAGCAGGGCTAGATATAGATTAAACGTTACCATGCTGCTAGCCTGAGTTTTTTTTGCAGTGTTGGTGCACTACGAATATGCAATGGACCTCTCGTCCCACTTCGCCAACACCCGATACAAGACTGTGGGCATATGACTGGTTGGTAGTTTTCGGCAGATGTAATCCCCGTTATCAGCAAAGCTCCTCCCGCCACGATTTTTCTCTTCGGTGGTCGCGTCAACTTCTAGGCTGAATGACAACCCCAAGGCGGAAGGACAGGCAAACGCACTCCTTCCACATTCTGCTGTCAGTCGCGCTAGTTATTTCGAACCATGCCAGTTCGCGTAGTGATAGTCTCGCCTGTTCTTAATGACTTGACTTAGAAGCATTGTAGCAAACGGTTGATGGCTCGCGCGTCGTTAGAGTTTCTAGTTCAAATGCTGCTTCGCATTTCTAGAGAGTCACGTTGTCTCATAGTTTCGATACTCGTCTAGAAACTGACACGCGAAATGTCATGATGGCCCGGACGATGATCGAAGGACCCCCTAAATGCTCTGCTATAGGAGCACGGCGTTCACTTATAAGAGGTCGTAGTACGGTGCTTGCACCGCGTACGGGGGTATTCAGGCAGCAAACGAAGCCTAAGCGGTTCATGCTGTTTCAGCAGCTACGGAAGCACAAGGATACGTCATCCCGAAAGCTGTCGACGCTGTCGCATCAGCGCCGTACGCGTGCTGAAGCGGAAGCTTTCGTTGTTGTCACACCAGAGCCGTTGGCGTGCTATCAGTGTAACAGTCGTGCCGTTAAGTCGATTTAAGCATCGCGAGGGGGGAGCCTGTCAGTCAGTTAATCATGGGAAGAATCATTCAGTTCGGGAAGCCCGGTAGCCTCCGGTGGCGTGCCATTACTGTTGATAACGACGGACGAGGCGTGTCCACGTGGCACCACGTCCCGCTATACGCCTCCCCAAGATGCCACGTCAGTGGCCGGACCGACTTGGCAGCTTCGTATCTGTCACCAGTTGCGGGATACGCTTCCAGCGTTACAGAATGCGATTGGTCAGAGCCTTCCAGTGCGCCTTTGCTACACATGGTGGTTACCACGCCACGTGGCTCATGGTTACGGGTGGAGCCTGCAGCTGACGAGGATTTCACTCCATTGCGGATAATTGCACACGATGGCAGGCCGTCTCACTATTCCCATAACGCACCATACAATATCGGGTTCCTTCCTCAGACGTGGGTTCAGATCAGCAGCAGCAGTGGGAGCAGCAGTTACGGCAGCAGCAGCAGTTTTGTCAGCAGCAGCAGCAACAACAGCAGAAGCAGCAACAGTAAGAACAGGAGCAGTGACCTTTCTAGGAGCAGTTTCGACGACAGCAACGGGTTTGTTCGAGACTCTAATGATTCCTATTTCAGTAACATCACTAATCCTACCCACCCCTCTTTTGGTTACCCTGTTACTGGCAACGGAGTTTCTCCATATCAAGCCGTCCAATCAGGAGCGCCGATGCAGGCAGTGGAAATCAGTGGAGCAGCAGCCCTCCCAGGGGATGTTCTTGTAGTGAGGGTTCTTGGAGCCTTCGCTACAGTGACGGATGCAGCTCCTGACGCAATTTCGTGGAAACTAGTGACCTGTGCAGTTTCAGAAGTTCAGGATCAGCAGCAGCAGGTGGAGCATGAATTTGGTCATATGGGGGAGCAGGGAGAATGGTTAAGGGTATGCGGGGAGATTAAAGTCGCACAGGAGCTAGAAGCTAAAGCACCTGGCGTGGTGGATAGTGTACGGAACTGGCTGCAGAGTTGTGATCAGATTCAACCTGGCGATTCTCCTGTTTCTTTTGAGCTTTCCGGGCAGCTTGCGCCCCCGCGAACGGCTTTCAATGCAGCCCGGAATGCTGCCCAAGCGTGGGGTGTGATGACTGCGGATGGCCGGGCAGTCAGACCGGTCCACGTGGCGTTTTCTCGGGCAGGAGGAATGCTCCCGACACACCGGGCAGATATTGAAAAGATCTGGGAGGCGAGCTACCTGGAGAATCTCAGCTTAGCATCAATTCCTTTGAGCTGCCCGGAGAAAAATTCTGGCGTCAGTGGCACTGCTGGTAGCAGAGGGACCGCCACTGCAGACTCACCACTGCAATCATCATCACCACTAGCATCAGCATCAGCACTACCAGCATCAAGAAGATCCTACCCTTCCCTCTCCTCCTCTTCCGCTGTCGCATCACACCACCACTTCAACCTTTCTCCACCCGCTTCCTCTTTCCACACTGCAGCATTCATAACAGACCCGCCCATCCCCCACAGCACTGCACAGAACCCCCCACGCACCCCCACCGCTCGCCACAGCCACAAACACCAGCTCATGGCCAAACTCTTTTCGAAGCTGCCCAACACGCACTCTGGCCAGGAGAAAGAAAATCCTCGGCACAGGCAGCAGCAGCAAGAAGCTTCCGCCCAGTTTCAGGAGAGCCGATACGTGTTGTTGCCTCAAGAAAGAAGCTTCCTCTCTACTTCCCAGCTAACCAGCTCGAACCACATCCCAACCACCAACCCCAGGCCTTCACAGGTGTTCCCCCACCCACAGGTCTCACAGGGCTCACAGGGCTCGCAGGGCTTAGATAGGGACCGATCAAGGGGTGCAGCAGGGGATGAGAGGATACTTTCGGCGGCTGGATTGACTGTTCCTGCTGCTGCGCCTTCTTCGTTCGGTGCAGTTGGGTCTGTTCTTACGGCTGGAGAAACGGGTGGTAACCCGAGTGCTGCTGGTAACCAAGCTATGGTTACAGAGGCGCCAAGCTCCGTGCTTCCCTTCCTGGGCTTCTCTAGGAGCTCCCTCCACGCCCCTAGGTTCCTGCGGCCCCCTAAACTCCTCTCCTTGTCCCTGATGCCTGGTGGTGGTGCTGCTGCTGGGAAGGCGGGGATGGGCAAGGAGGAGGGAAGGGGTAAGGACGGAAGAGGCAAGGAGGAGGAGGGGAAGGAGGAGGAAAGGGGGAAGGAGGAAGGGGTGAAGCAGAAGCAGAAGGGGAAGGGGAAGAGGGTGGGGTTTGGTGCGGTGGAGTGTGTTGCAGGGCCTCCTGCCGCTGCTTTATCGGGTATGTGGAGGGCGGAGGAAAGGTGGGAGGAGGAAAGCAGGGAGGTGGAGAGGGGGGAGGAGGAGTGTGGGAGAGGCAAGGAGAACAGGGGAGTGAAGAGAGCTAGTGTGAGTGGAGTGGAGTGTGTAGCAGGGCCGCCTGCATCTGCTCTTGTGGGCATATGGAGGGAAGAAGAGAGTCATGAGGAGGAGAGTGGATATGTTAAGAGAAAGGAAAGGGAAGGGAATGGGGCTAAAATCGTGGGTTTGGGTGCTGCGGAGCGTGTAGCAGGGCCATTGGGTTCTGCTTTATCGGGAGTGGAAGGTGCAGGTTTGGAGGAGAGGTTTGATGCGGGCAGGTTGAAAAAACAGATGGCTTGTGAGCTGGAAGCAGCATTGGCGAAGCAGGAGATTATAATGAAGCGGCAGGAGATGCTTATAAAGGAGGGGAAGAAAAGGGAGGAGAGAGCGAGAAAGGAGAAGCAGAGGAGGGAGGAGAGGATGAAGAGGAGGGAGGAGAGGGCAGGTGGGAAGGCCGGGGAGAGAGTGTGGAGGGAAGTGGGGACGGAGGGGGAGAGGGAAGTGGAAAGGGAGGAGGAGGGAGAGGGGGAGGGGGAGAGGGAGGGAGAGAGGGAGGGGGAGAGGGAGGGGGAGAGGGAAGTGGTGAGGGAGGGGGAGGGGAAAGGGGAAGGGGGGTATGGAGCTGCATCGGAGGAGAGAGGGGCAGATGGTGTGGAGGCTAGTGCAAGATTTGATCATGTGAAGGGTGACAATGAGTCAGGACGTGTGGGAGCATCCATAGCAGTATCTGAAGCAGCACCTGTAGTGGAGACTGTAGTAAAAGCTGTAGCAGAGACCGTAGCCACACCTGTAGCAACAGCTGTAGCAGCAGAGCCTGTAGCAGCATCTGTAGCAGAGCCTGTAGCAGAGGCTTTTGCATCATCTCTAGCAGAGCCAGCAGCAGGGTGTGACAATGAATCATCAGCATCTCTTACACTGCGGAGACCTGCACTTGAAGCCATACCCCTTTCATCTGGTAGCGACAACCAAACCCTACTGTGCGAGGAGACAATTTTCGAGGTGCCTCAAGAACCGTGTGCACCTGGCACACCGCAGGCACCTGCACTTGAAGCTACGGCTTGTACATCTGTTCTCGAGGAGCCTCAAGAACACCCCACACTGCACAGACCTGCACTTGGAGCTATTGAAGCTATGACTCCCCCACTTAGTAGCAGCAACCAGGCAGTTCTGTCAAGGGATAGCTATGAAACTGTGCAGGAGACTGGGAATTCGCAAGCAGCATGTGATGCAGCCCCTGAGTTGCCTTGTATAGAACCGGTGGAAGCATCATCTGTAGCATTATCTGCAGCAGCAGCAGGAGTGGCAGCGTCTGTTGCATCGCCTGTAGCAGAAACAGAGGCAGCACCATCTGTAGCACCATCTGTAGCACCATCTGTAGCACCATCTGTAGCATCATCTGTAGCACCATCTGTAGCATCATCTGTAGCACCATCTGTAGCATCATCTGCAGCACCATCTGTGGCATCATCTGCAGCACCATCTGTAGCATCATCTGTAGCATCATCTGCAGCACCATATGTAGCATCATCTGCAGCACCATCTGTAGCATCATCTGCAGCATCATCTGTAGCATCGCCTGTATCATCATCTGTAGCAACAGCTGTAGCAGCGGATGTGGTAGGGCGTGTAGGTGCGCATGTAGCAGCAGGTATAGGACAGGATGTAGCAGGGTCTGTAGCAGCAGGTATAGGACAGGATGTAGCAGGGTCTGTAGCAGCAGGTATAGGACAGGATGTAGCAGGGCCTGTAGCAGCAGGTATAGGACAGGATGTAGCAGGGTCTGTAGCAGCAGTTATAGGACCGGATGTAGCAGGGCCTGTTTCGTTTGCAGTGGATGTAGCAGCAGCGGCTGCTGCTGATGTATCTGGTGCTGATGTGGCTGTTGTCGATGGCGATGTGGCTGTTGTCGATGGCGATGTGGCTGTTGCTGACGTGGCAATTGGAGATGTGACTGAAGCTGATGTTGCTAAAGGCAAGGGCGCTGGGAAGAAAGGCACGAAAGCTGCAGCAGTGACTAAAAGAAAGGGCGTTCTTAAAAAGGGGGGAAAGGGGAATAAGGAGGGCGACAGGGGCAGTGCAGCAGTGAAAGCGGGTGCGAAAGCAGGCAAGGGAGAGAAAGAGGGACAAGGTGCCAGCAGCGTTCAGACTGCCGTGAGCGCTACAGCCGCCACTGCTACAGCCGCCACTGCTACAGCCACCACTGCTACAGCTGCTGGCAGTGAGCATTTTACTGTGCACGCCCCTCCTCCCAGCATTGCCCGCATCCAATCGTTGAGCGACAGCTGGCGTGCAAGCCACGAGGAGATGTTTTTCCAGCTGCTGTGCTCGCGGGGGGCAGCACTGCTGGGAGGGATGGGGGGAGGTGCAGGGCTGGGGGGTGGGGCAGGGATAGGGGAAGGGGCAGGGCTGGGGGGAGGTGCAGGGAGAGGGGGAGGAGGAGATGGGGAAGCAGGGAGAGGGGAAAGAGCAGTCGGCGGGCTGCTGCCGTTGGGGGGAAGAGGGGCAGGGAAGAGGGGAGGGGTAGACATGGGGGGAGGGCCAAGGATGGGGGGACCGAGAGGGATGGGGGGAGGAGATGGGGGGCTGCTGCCGCTGTTGGCAAGGGCTGGGAAAGGAGGAAAGGGAAGAGGGGAGGAGGATGGAGTGGGGAGAGGAGTGGAAAAGGCGGACGGGAGTAAGGGGAAGGGTTGTGGGGAGGATGGTGGAAGCAGGCGGGAGAGGAGTGAGAGGGAAGAGGATGAGAGTGAGTGGAAGAAGGTGAATGATACTGAGAATGTATGCGGAAGTGAGAATGAGAACAGGAATGAGAGTGGGAGTAGGAGTGGGAGTGGGAATGAAAGTGGGAGTGGGAATGGGAATGCTGGTTTTTATGGTGCTGTCACCTCATTGGATGAGGCCTTCCCGCCGGCCAGGGTGCTGCAGTGCATCATTGCGGCAGAAGAAAACGAGCCCTTGCCACCCGTTACCGGAGCTGCCAGCATCATGAACAGTAGTTTTTGCAGCATGAGCAGTGTTGATGGAGGGATGTCCATCTCGGAAGGGTGTGGGAAGGAAGCAGACGTGGGAAAGGCCAAAGATAAGCTGACGGGGAAATCAAAGGGAGTGGAGAAGGGGAAGGGGGCAGGAAAGGGGAAGGGGGTGGGGAAGGGGAAGGGGGGTTTGAAAAAGAAGAAGCAGATGAACAGCAAAGACAGAGATTCTGTTTTGGGTGCTGCTGATGCTGCTGCTGCTGCTGATGCTGATGATGGTTCTGGTGATGGTGCTGGTGCTGCTGTCAGTTTGGGTTCTGATGATGCTGCTTCTGGTGAAACTGTTTATGGTGATAGTGAGGTGGCGTATAGTGAACCATTTGATGATAGTAGCCTACAAATACAGGCACTAAAGGACACAGAGGACGATACTGCAGCTGCTTTCGAGAAGAGAACTGCCTCCAAAAACGGGACTGTTAATAATGGGGATATTCCGACTCTGACTCCGATGGGTCTGGGGGGGCTTGGACTGGGAGGAAGGGCTGGTGTGAGAAGAGGAGTGAGTGTGACGGAGTGTGATTATGAAGAGGGTGCTTTTGAGCTGACTCAGGATTCACCTCGTCTCAATGTCACAAGGGTGAAACTAGAAGGAGCGGGTGTGACTGAGTGTGGTTGGGAGGAGGAGGGTTGCTGTGATGTGGGGGAGGGCAACGACAAACAGAGATTTCTGGGAATGCTGAGAGATATCTCATCTGGGGAGGAAAAGGGCAAGCAAACCACACTTCCTCAGTCGAAGCGAGGAAAAGGGAAGGCTAAAAAGAAGGTAAAGCCCACTCCAAACCCATTGTGTTTTGAGAATTCTCAAAAGGAAAGGCTACTAAAAGGAAGGTAAAGCTCACTCCAAACCCATTGTCTTTTCCTGAAAGAAGGGTGTCATGCTGCGAGTTCCAGGTTTCAGGTTCTGGGTTTTGGATTCCAACTTTCAGCAGCTTTTGAATATTGGTCTTTCGGTTTCGTGCCTCAGGTCAGGTCTGGGTTCCCGGCTTCCAAATTGCAGGTCTGGTTTAAGGCTTTGGCTTCTAAGTCTCGGTTCAGCTTTATGTTTTCGCTTCGTTTTCTTGGGTCAGGTTTAGGGTTTTAGCTTCCATGTTTTTGTGTCAGGTTTAGGGTTAGTCTGTCCAGTTATTTCTTGCCAGATTGGTGTTCAATTCCCTTCTTTCCTCCATGTCTTGCCACTGTGCCGTCTGTGTCCTCTTGGGCCCCTTTCTCACCGATTGCTGTTCTGAGTCGACCCAAAACGTTCTCACCGATTGCTGTTCCCATCTTTCCTCGTGATCTGTCCCAGATTTGTCGGCCTCGGAACTTTCTCAGTTCGTTTTTTTCTTTCTCGCTCTCTCCTTGTGATCTGCCCCCAACCAACCTTGTCCTCCTTCTGACAGCAGGCGCCTCTACAGCTGGTAATTTCCGGGGAAGCTTCCAACTTCTCCTCTTCGCCGCTTTCCTCCTCTTCCTCCTCCTCGTCGTCTCGCCCCCCTCACCACTCTCCCGCTTCCTCTCCTGCTGCTGGTTTGGCTGCTGTGGAGCGCACAGCAGGCGGGAGGCAGCCCAGGCAACAACACCTGGCCAATGCTACACACAAGAAAACTGGGAAGCCGAAAGGCGCTGCTCGTGGTGCTGGTGCTGATTCTGCTGATACTGGTGCTGCTGGTGCTACTGCTGTTGTCGCTGGTACTGGTTCTGCTAGTGCTGATGCTGATTCTTCTGCAGACTCTGCTGCTGACTTAGACGTGTCTGCTGCTGCAGCTAGTGCAGAGCGTGACAGCAGTGGTGATTCCAGGTCTTGGGGCAATTGCGATTCTCCTCGCCCCAACAGTGCTGATAAGGTTTCCCACTCCTCTCCTTCAGCCTCCTCTTTCTCCTGCAGCAGCACCAGCAGCAGCAGGACCACCACCGGCAATACCAGCAGCACTCACAGCCGCAGCAGCAGCACCAGCAGCACTTACAGCCGCAGCAGCAGCGGCACTCCCAGTCGCAGCAGCGTGTTCAACATTTTCATGGGAGCTCCTGAGGACCGGGAATTTCTCTTTTCAGAGATGGATGAAATGGAGCCTCTAAAACCGCCAGAGGACCGGACGTTTCTCTTTTCAGAGATGAGTGGAATGGATGGAAGCGGAGGGGAGGAAGAGGAGAGGAGGAAGGACACGGGAGAAGGGAAGAAGATTGATGGAGAGGTGGGGAAAGGAGAGGAGGGGAAAAGAGGGGAGGGGAAAGGAGGGGAAGGGAAAAGAGAGGAGGGGAAAGAAGAAGAGGAGAAAGAAGAGGAGGGGAAAAGAGGGAAGAGGAAAGGAGAGGACGGGAAAGAAGAGGAGGGGAACAGAGGGAAGGGGAAAGGAGAGGAGGGGAAAGGAGAGGAGGGGGATGGAGAGGAGGGAACGACAGAAGGGTCTGTTTTTGTTGAAGATCAAAGAAATGTGGAGCAAGGAGGGTGCGCTGACCGCCCAAGCATAGAAAAAGCTAAGGGAGGTGCAGGGGGAAGGGCAGAGGCAGGGGCAGAGGCAGGGGAAGAGGCTGGGGCAGAGGCAGGGGCAGAGGCAGGGGCAGAGGAAGGGGCAGAGGAAGGGGCAGAGGAAGGTGCAGAGGAAGGGACAGAGGAAGGGGCAGCGGCAGGGGCAGAGGAAGGGGCAGAGGCAGGGGCAAAGGAGGGGGCAGAGGCAGGGGCAGGGGAAGAGGCAGGGGAAGCTGGTGCTCCGCTAGAGGCTGATGCATTACAAGGCCATGAAGTGAGACAGCTAGAGGCAGATGCGCTACAAGGCGGTAGAGAGACAAGAGCTTTATCCCCTCTCACGGCAGATGCATTACAAGGTAGTGTGAGGGAGAACGGCATCAAGAGCCCGCGCAAGCCTAAGAAGCAAAAGGAGGTGAAAGAGAAGGTGAAGGAGAAGAAGAAAGAGAAGGAGAAGGAGAGGGAGAAAGAGAAAGAGAAGGTGAGTGGGGTGAAGGCAGGTGGGAAGAAGGGGAGGGCGAGCACAGGAAAGGTGGATGCTGGAGGGAAAAGTGTCACTACTGCTGCAGCTGGTTCCACAGCCATTGCGACAACCACTGTTGCAACTGCCGCTGCCAGTGCAACAGCCTCTATTCCAGAGCATGGAAAAGCACGGGGAATGGGCAGCGGCACAGCAGAAGAACCAGCAGAAGGTGTTCTACTGATAAACGGCAGCAAAAAAGCAGACGAATTAGAAAATGGGGTGGAGGGCGGAGCAAGGGGAGGATCAGCAGCAGTTTTGAAAATCCTAGAAAACGGTTCAGATATTGAAGGCAGCTTTCTTGCAGGAGATATGGAGAGTGGTCTGGGGAAGGAAACAACAACAGAGGCTGGGGAAGGATCAGAAGCAGGGGAGAGCAAGGGGGAGGAGGCTGTAGGAGGAGGATTAGCAGCAGGGGATGGCGGAACTACAAAGCTGGGAGCGTCAGCTGCAGCAGATGCAGGTCCGGAAGATGGATCTAGAAAGCTGAGCACGAGCAGTAGTGAAGTGAGAGCGCTGGCAATGCTGGTGACTGAACTGGCCTGTGGGCCGGGGCAAGGGCGCGAAGACGTGACTGTTGAGGCGCCTCATAAGGCTACTGTTGTGGCAGACTTGGCTTGTGTGCAGGTGCAAGGGCGAGAGGAGGTGAGAGAGGTGCAGCAGCGAGGGGAGGTGAAAGAGGAGGATACTCCTGCTGCTGCTGCTGCTGCTGCTGCTGCTGGTAAAAGAGCACATGCGCTGGGGGAAGAGGAGTTCAAGGAGGCACGGCAAGAGGAGGCGTTTGGAGTAGACCTGGGGCATCAGGCAGAGCCGGTTGCTGCTGCTGCTGCTGCTGCTGCTGGAGAATTTGCAAACCCTGCATCTGTTGCATGCTCTGCTGCAAATTCTGCTGCTGCAGCTCCAAAGGGTGCAAGCACCCCGGCACAGGGACGGCAGAGGGCAGTGTCCTTCCACCCGGATGTGCTTGTAAAGACCTTTGCAGTGGAGGCGGGGCAGTTACGGCGCAAGGTGGTGAGGAAGAGGCGGCACCGGCAGCAGCTGATCGACGTGCCTGTTGCTGTGGTGGCTGCTGCTGTTGCTGCTGCTGAAGCTGCCGCCGCAGCTGCTGCTGCTGCTGCTGCCGCCATGCAGGAAGCCTCAGCAGCAGCAGCAGCAGCAGCACCAGTACCAGCACCAGCAGCAGGAGCAGCAGCAGCAGCAGCAGCAGAAAATGTACAGATACGAAGAGAGGGAGAGGCAGAGACACAAGCAGCAATGCAGGGGGGCCCAGCTGGAGAGGCAGAGGCAGGAACAGAGAGAGAAGCAGAGGGAGAAGCAGAGGGGCTAACAAGAGGAATACAAGCAGGGGCAGAGCTATTACATGGACAGGCAGTTACCTCAGAATCAGCATCTGCTGCTGCAGCAGCAGCAGCACCAGCAGCGTCACCATTGGCTGAACCACAGGAGAGCGAGCAAGCAGTGAAGCCATCACCAGATTCCCTCCCAGGGAGTTTCATGGTTTATCAAACAGCAGATGCCCTCCCAGGAAGTTTATTGGTGTATCAATCAGCAGATGCCCTTCCACACGTTGTCCCACATGCCATGCCACACCCCGTACAGCTAGCTTGGATCTTGCATCAGCTCCCCTTCTTTCAGACCCCTCCATTACAGCTGCAGAGCGTCCACAGGTCTACCGTCCCACTTCAGGCTCCTCTTCAGGTGCCGTTTCTGCCGCCGCCCCAGGTGGCTCCTCAGGTGCCGTCTCAGGTGCCTGGTGACGTTCCTTGGCCGGGCCTCCAGGCACCTGATCAGGTACCTTTTGAGCTGCTTAACAGAACGCCTGTGGAGATGGGACCAATCTGCCAGGGTGCAGCAAGTAACATGGAGTGCTGTAACCAGTATGCTTTGCCTGAGTCTCGGTGTGTGTCAGCAGCAGCGTCAGGAGAAGCAGAGGGGGGTGCTTTGTCAGCAAATGAGGTCTTTGGGCTGCGGCAAACAGTGGTTGATGGGGAAATTGAAGGTGATGGTGATGGGGCAAGAGGAGAGGAGGGTGGTTCTGGTGAAATGGAGGGTTGCGGTTTGGATGGGACATATGTGATGGCGAATGGGCTTGAATGCCAAGAGCAGCAGCGAGGGGAAGGGGTAGCGAAGAAAAAAACCAAGGGAAAACAAAACACAGGAAAAGAGAAAGGTAGTATCAAGAAGAAACAAGCACCTGGCAAGGTGAAGTAAATACATGTATTGCAGCAGTTATGCGTACATAAATCATTAGTATATCCGTACTGCATTGTAGAATGTGCCTGTCAATGTCACATATATTTTCGCTGTTACTTCACCCAACCTCTTTTGAAAGTATGTAGCTTATAAGCGAGTTGGCCATATGCAGATCTACCGTAGTTTTATGAGAGGTGCAGTATAATCAGACAATTTCAAATAGCAGCCATGAGGTCTAGGATCATGTCCTCTTATAGCGGTATGGTGGCTGCTGTTAACGAGTTACCTGATTCTGACGTGGCGCCTGTCCCAAGTGACGCCAATCACTGGTGACGCCCCGTCAGCCAGCACACCTGCGATGCGTCCAGGCCTTGTATCAGGCGCTGATTCGCTCCGCAAGGAGCCAATAGGCGAGCTACACCGGGCCGATGACCTGATGGGTGGTAGCAGGAGAGGTCGCAATCTTTTGCTTTCGTCTGCCCGTTCATGTACATAAACTTAACTAAGAGTTACGTAGGCCATATACTGCTGGTCGATATCCTCCTAGCGCGCACGCACACAAAGGGGACGCCCCCAGTGTGCGAGCCAACAAGCATGCGTCTACAACAAGCATCCAAAGACCAAAGCTATCCAATCAGTTATCAGCGCGCTCTGAAACAAGTTGAGGTATGGTGGTGTCCCTAGGTTCGCGTTGCCCACCTAGGCGTTGTTCTGCTGGAGTTCTCGTCGCTGCACCGTTGGTGGATTGGTAAACCTCGCAATAACTTCAGGTGCCTTTTTGATTGACTTGGCAACACATGAAGGTTCAGTTTTAACCGAGGTAAACTTCTCGTTTGAACAGCTCAGCCAACTCGGGTCTGCCCTTCTGAACACGGTCTGGCGAAATGAGAACCGAGGGTTCTCATCTTGGCAAAGGCAACGATACGGACTTCTTGATCAGTCACACATGAAAGAGTATCGAGCAGCAAGAACGTAAGAAGATTTTCTTGAAATCTGAACGCGGTCAAGTGTTGGGCGTTCAAGCCTACCACGAGCAAAAAAATGGGCTGCTGGTTTCTGCCCCGCACCAGTGGTGCGGAGGTGATTTTACCTCGAGAGGTCGCACCAGTGATGCGGACCATTTGCCTGGAGAGGAAATGGCGTGGAACATACGGGCGGTTCTGGTACAGTGTCACAAAAGTGCTGCTCTGCAGGTTTCCTCGGTTTTCTTGATGCGGGCAGCTTCGGACAATGCCCAACCTGAACCGACGCACCACTGGTGCGGATGGAAGAATCCAAGAAGGCCATTTTTGGCCAAAAGAACAGCGCCCTAGAGATAGGTTCTCTTTGCACAATTCCAGACCTCAGGTGGATTACTAACCGCAAAGACTTGTATGTTTAGGCGTGGAACATAGAAGTTTGAGGGCGTATCCCTGGCTGGTGGCAGGGCCACTGTAGCTGGCAAGGTTGGTGGCAACTTTCCCAAAAACACAGGGGCCCGGAAAATGCGCATGCCACGAACAGTGCCAGCTACAATTGCCCTGCCACCACCCAGGGATACGCCCTGAGAGTTCCGAAAAGTCGCCAAGGTACGAGGCACTCGTGGTTTTTATGTCACAACACAGAGAAAGCCAATTTTGTCCCTGCTGCTAGCTAGCTTGAGGAGCAGGCGATAGCGATACGTTTGTTGATTTCTTTCATTTTTTTGCTACTATCGCGCTAGCTTCAAGGCAGCAGGGTTGCCGTCTCGAAGTGTCCGCTCGTGCTGTCGCGAATAACAGAAGCGGTGGATATATTCAGGAGGCGACTTCGCTTGCGTTGCTGTCTGCTCGGCAAGGCGCGCCACGGCATTGGAGCCTTTACGCGACGCGCCTTTTCTACGCATCTTAACTTGGAATTTCCTTTCATTCACTATTCCTGCGATACTGTGAAGAACTGTCACGATTATTGCAGCCTGATTTTGAAACTCACTGTGACATCATCAATGGCGGGTGCGGGGGGTGTCACCCTGGCGTTTCGATGGCTGGAGGACGTGGCGTCCCCGTTATTCTTCACCCTGATACTAGCGTGGATGATGTACACCGTCATGCACACTGTATTTACGTTCAATAATAGCGAGATGACTATAACGAGGAAAGCCGAAGAGAAGGGAGAAGGGGAGGGGGAGGACGAGGAGGTGGAAGAGGAGGAATGGAATCAGGTAGAGATGCACGAGGCAGAAGACGACAAACCGAGCTCTCTCGGAAACGACAACGCCTTTGCCGCACACGGTGACACTAGCGATGATGATATTGTCGAAGTGCCTCCTGTCACTCCTCTCATCTCCAAAGGAAACCTAGACCCGTCGCAAGGGGAAGCACCTGTTGCTCCAGTCCCGTTAAAAGACGCACTTAATGACGCACTTAGTGACGCTTTACCCACTGTTGTGGAAGCTTCCGCCATTTCTCCCCTTAGCACTTCCGCCTCAGCCAACCCCGTCACCACGACGGTTACAGCTGCCACCGACACTTCCGCAGAAGCTTCCGCCGCTTCAGCTCCGCCCGCTTCCACCGCGTCCGCCGCTTCCGTTCCGCCTCCCTCTTCCGCCCCTTCCGCTTCTTCCACCCCTTCCGCTGCTCCTGCTCTCTCCGCTCCTCGTGACGCGGACGGAGTCAGCGGGGGGGACGGCGAGAGCGACGACGACTGGGAGGGCATAGAGGCGTCAGAGGCGGAGGATCGATTCTCGGCGGCGGCAGCTTTAGTGACGACTATGGCGGCTACGGGTAATTTGCGGATTGGAGAGGGGCTGCAGCTGCTGCTGTATGGGCTGTATAAGCAAGCCAGCGACGGACCGTGCGACACGAAGCAGCCCGCTGTCTACAGCTTCAAGGCGCGGGCCAAATGGTGAGTGAGTGAGCACTCTTTTCCTGGGCTGCTGCAGCAGCTGCAGCTGCAGCTGTACGCGCTGTACAAGCAGGCGAGTGACGGTCCGTGCGACACCAAACAGCCCGCTGGCTATAGCTTTACCGCGCGGGCGAAATGGTGAGTGAGCATCCGTTCCCCTTACGTCTTGCTGTGTTTGATGCAACAAATAAAAACAAAAACTATGGGAACGTGAGTCAGTTTATTGAACCGAGCGAAAATATGACCTCTAGCCTTTCTTTTCTATTGGTATTGGTGTGGCAGCATCAGCGACTGCAGTTTAGCGGTTGTGCGAGTTAGTTTGCTCTGTGACTTGTACTCGTTACTGTTGTCTCTCTGCTCGTTACAGGGATGCATGGAAAAAGCTGGGGAGCATGAGTCAGGACGAGGCGATGGCGCAGTACGTGGGGCTGGTGGAGCAGATTATTCCCAACCCCAACGAGGTGAGAATGAGAAGCAAGCATGCATGCATGTGAGAGGGTACATGGCACAATGGCAGCGCGAGGCATAGGGAGGCGATGGCGCAGTACGTGGGGCTGGTGGAGCAGATGCTTCCGAACCCCAACGAGGTGAGCTGTATGTATGTATCTGGGTGATGGTGTGTGAGCATGATTGCAACGCGGATTTACGGATCACGTTTGCGAAATATCAAGGGAGAACCCAGGTGAGGTGAGCTGTATGTGTGTGCGGGGGCGGGGGGGGTGGATGATTGCAACGTGATGTAACGGGAGGGAATGCATGGTGCGAAGGGCAGCGGGTGTGGGAGGAGCTTGTGCGAATTATCTGGGACATGGTTACCTGCTCTCCACCTTGCCTCGATCGCTGCGAAGTTTTTCAAGCTTGCCTCATGCACAAAATCCCTTTTCCAATCCTCTTCCCCTCAGGGATCCAAGGGCGGAGATGGGGGAGGAGGAGGGGGAGGGGGAGGGGCAGGGCGGGGGGTGAGTACAATGCTGATGGCGGAAGGAGGGGAGGAGGGTGAAGGGGGAAAGGTGGGGGAGGAAGGGGAAGGCGGAGCAAGTGGAATGGCAGCGGCGGACAGCAGTGGGTCTGGCTTCGGGTGAGTGTGTTTCCCCTCAGAACATTTTGAGTCGACTCAAAAGTCTGGCTTCGGGTGAGTGTGTTCCCCCTCAGAACAAACTCTCTGCGCTTTCCTCCATCGAGCCCTTCATCCTCCATTGCTCCCCTCATTGCTCCCCTCATCCTCTCTTGAGATACAAGAGATTTTTTTGAGACATCTAAAAAAATCCCCTCATGCCCTCTCGGCCTTCCTTCCTCCCCTTCCCTATCATTCTTCAGTCTCCTTCATGCATCTTCTCCCTCCCCTCCCGCCCCATTCATCCTGCATCCTTCCAGCTGTGACCTTCCCCTCCCGCCTCCATTCCTCCCCCCTCCCCCGTCTCTTCCTCCCCTCTTTCCGCAACCTTCCCCTTTCCCAAACCCCCCCACAACGTATTCCTTTCCAGTCGCCTGCATGCACTGGCTAGTGCTGATGTGGAGGACACGGCAGCAGTGGAGGAGTGGGTAAAGCAGCACCCGGAGGCTCTGGAACAGAGAGGTGAGATGCGGTGTAGATCGGTGGCATGCGGTCGGTCAGGGTGGTGGGATGTAGTGCAGAGTGGTTGAATGCGGTGAGTGTGGAGTGGGGAGATATGGCACAGGGGTTATCTTTGACTGTGCAAGTGCGCTTTTGTTTTGCATCAATACCGTCCCTCGAATCATCCGTTTTTATGATTCTCTCTTCTCTGTTTGTCTCTCCCACTACCAGACGACGAAGGCCGGACGGCGCTGCACTGGGCGGCAGACAGAGGCAAACTAGCCATGACTCGGTGCCTGCTGGCTCAAGGCGCTGACGTCAATCAGACTGTAAGTTTCTCACTCCCACCAATCCTCTTCCACCAATCCGCTCGTTCTGCTCCACTACCTTCCTCCTCTCTCCCTCCTCCCTCCTTTCCCAATCCAACCAGGACGACGGGGGTCAGACTCCCCTGCAAAATGCAAGTATGCAAGGTCAAGTTTGTTGCTGACCGTCTAGCCCCCTCTCTTCCCCCTCCCCTTCTTCATCCAACCAGGAAAATGAGGGCCAGACTCCCTTGCACTATTCTACAGCTTGCAAGCACAATTCAACCATCCTCCTC